ATATGGCCTATAAATGTAAAGCATTGTTATTATGTATCAGACAGAAAGCTGTCTCCAGCCAAAAAGAAACCAGCAAGATATAAAGTATATGGAGGCTTCATCCACTTCTGTAACATTTAAATTTGTAATCTGGGTATAAATTAAATGGGCTTAATGCTGGGGTAAGCACAGCATCTGCAATCTAAAAAGCCCAGAGCACTATGCAAACATTGTCATTTGAAACATCCTGTTGTTACATCATCAACACCAGTCATTATAATTCCTTCTTCCTGAGGATTATGATATTCACAGAGTTTAATTTTCTTTCTAAAGGTCACCACCCAAGTTAGTGTAAAAATCCCAGAAAGAGGATAAGCTCTCTGGGCTTCTACCAGTCCTATGTCTTTTCATCCAAACAAGCCAACAAAACACCTCAGAGCCAAAATATAAACTATGGAACTGTGGAGATGAAGGAAGAGCTTAAATAAAACAAGCGACATACTTTTATTCCGAGGTAAACATCTATCTCTGTTTTATCTTTAGTACAGGGAAAATTTAGTACTTTGTAATAGATTGATTTGGCCTAAGAAGAAAAGTAGAGAAAAGAGACTAGGGGTGAAGACACCCTCAGAATAAGGAATTGGACAAAAGAGGTGAAATAGAGACAGAGAAGGGTGGGAAATGTATAAGTTCACTTTTCCCTTCTTTTTCAAAGAAAACCGCTCATATCATCGGCATCATTGGAACAACATATCCCAGGGGTGGAGAGAGGGAGGGAGACAAGCAACGCCCAGAGCCAGCTTATTCAGAGCCTGTAAAATCATTTTCAATTCTTTTAAAATCAAAATAAATAATATGATCTGGTGTGGAGTCAATTTGCCTTTACACCAACATAACCATAACAGACAATTTTAAATATTTTTTGAGATGAGAGAGATCCACAAAGGCAAGAGCACCTCTGGCCTCTGAAAGTCAGAACATGGCTCTGGAAATGCCCTAATTTAGGCATTTGAGGAATTTGCATTATTAAGAATCTCAGGCCTGGCTGGCATAGCTCAGTGGATTGAGCATGGGCTGCGAACCAAAGTGTCGCAGGTTCGATTCCCAGTCAGGGCAGATGCCTGGGTTGCAGGCCACAGCCCCCAGCAACCGCACATTGATGTTTCTCTCTGTCTCTCTTTCTCCCTCCCTTCCCTCTCTAAAAATAAATAAATAAAATCTTAAAAAAAAAAAGAAATCCTCATTTTTTAAAAAAAAAGAATCTCAGAAACATTCTGGGTCACTGGCTAAGGGCTGATTTATCAATATTACATACCTGCCATCACACTAAAAAGGTATGTATTTACAAGTTCATTTGCTTAGAGGTAAAAAAGGACTTGGGTGGTACTAATCCATGAAACCAATGTTCTTGGTAATATATGTAGAACACCTTGTGAGAAACCTTCATTTCTTGTGAAGAACAGCATTATCGTTTTCTAGAAAACATGAAAATCATCAGTGTGAATTTGCGAAACCAGAAAAGTCAGAGTCGTGCTGCCTGTCACTACCAGAACCAGCAAGTAGAGACAAGGACTGGGTCTTTGTGGGAGCTTAATCCTTTTAACACCTCTTTTCACACTGACCTTTTTATCAGGCCAAGGAAAGGTAGGTAAGGGAATGGGGGAAAAGGCTAATTGAAAAGGAATGGGAGGGGGGGTGGCGATTTTCCCTGTACTTCTTTATCTGTTGATCAACAACTCAGATAACATCTGGATTGCTTACAGGCTTACAGACCCTCGGGGCACAAAGGCTGAATTGCTTGTTGTTGCTTTCCAGTTCCTGAAATAATATCTTTCCACCTGCATTAATCACTGAAGACTATTAACTAAGGCTAAAATCTTTAACTCTTGAGTTCCCCTAAAACAGAAAATTTCTTAGAAAAAAAAGTTTCTTGCTTCATATGCCTTCATATTCCAGGCAGAGAAGAGGTGAAAAATCCTTAAATTCTTAAATATAAGTCAAAATTTGATGTGTGGGTGTGTTAAAAAAATCCATTACTGCTGAGACATCTTTGGGAGGACAGACGCTATGTAGCCCTCAGAGTTGTTTATGTCTTTTTAAGTATTACCTTCATAATGGGCCAGGAATCACCTTTCTGTTGGTTTGGAGGCTACAGAATGAGGAGTGCGTGGTGCTTTACTAAGACCGGCCATTCATTCAGTGACTGCACTGTTTGTCAGCTTGATTGGAGGATACCAAACGATCGATAACATATGTTCCAGAATTAAAGAAAGTTTTCCATTACAGCTTCCAAGAGATATAATTTCTCTTCTTTTGTTCTTATTTTGAGGGTATGTTTATTAAGAAGCTGGGTAGTGTGAAATAAGGAAAGACCTAGGATAGAAGAAGCAATAGGAGTCAACTTTGGCAGGGCTGCTTTGGCTCTCTAGAAACATTATAGGAAAGAAGTGAGCCAAGGTAGGGCGGCTGCTGGCTCACTGGGGAGTCAGATAAAAGGGACCTTGGGGACAGGTCCTGGGACAGCTGTTGCTGCCCATTGCTCCCCTGGTTGCAAGTCTCTTAGAGTCCCTTAGAGTGTAGGAGATGTATGCCTGTCGGGGAAGGGAAGGATGCAGGCATGCTCCCCGGAGGGAAAGTGATGAAACATACTTTCTAAACTGAAAATAGCTACAAAAGCTTATTAAAGTGTCAGAAGTTTCAGACAACTGCATAATTTTAGCTACTATTTATACAAAGTAGTCACAAACCAAAATCTAAAGATGACTTTATGAGATTAATTTGTGTTCAGTAATATGAAGTACAAAACATTAATGTTGTAAAATTTACATTTTAAAAGTACATTCTAAAATGATACATTAAGCTGTGACAGAGCAGTTAAATTGGTTGGCGCATCATCCCCATGTGCCAAGGTTATGGGTTCAATTCCAGGGCAGGGCACATAAAAGAAAGAATCAACCAATGAATGCATAAATAAGTGGTACAACAAATCAATGTTTCTCTTTCTCTCTCCCCATTCCTCTCCCCCTAAAATCAAAAAATAAAAAATAATTAAAATATAAGTTAAGATATAATAATTTGTGAGTTATTGCATGAATATTTAAATGCTTTTTATAACAAGGCAATGTGTTAATATGGGGGTTGGTAAAAGTAGGTTTACAGTTTTGAGTTTGTGAAACAGTTTATTCTTGTACTATTATTTTATTTCATTAATTATTGTATTTTCCATAGGAACAACTATAAACCTACTTTTGACCATCCCATATATGAACTGAATATATGCAATTCAACAAATACTAGAGAACCTGCTATGATGGGCTGTGCTTCCAAGACTGACAAAGATACATAATGTGCCTTTTTGGCCTTCTAGACATACTCAGAGTAACAGAAGTGATGGAGAGCTATGAAAATGTTTACCACAAAAGGAGGCAAAGGGTAAGATTGTTTTATTTCTAAAGTACCAGAGGGAAAGAGATTAAGGCAAAAATCCCTTTCAGTAATTTCTAAAGATTTCCTCTAGTAAGTGGTTGAGATGATCCCAAAGTTTGGGTTTAATTTCTCCCCAGCGGAGGAGACACTCCCGGTGGCAGCAGCTTTACAACAAACGTGTGGTGCTTTGAAGTGATTAATACCAGAAAAGTTTTCATAAAGCAGTCTGAAATAGATAGGAACAACTTTAATGCTTCAGTAGAGAACTCCATAAAATATAATATGGTAAGTAAAAATTCAAGTCCCAAATATGTTATACCGCCAGTCATATCCAGTAGAATGAATACCTGTTTCCTCAACCAATAGGAAGTCCCTAGCGGTTACTGTCCCCTTTTCCTTAGATCAGCTGAGATTCCACTGGAGAGACGTTAAATCAGGGTTTGTGGAGTGGGACTCAGGTATTGGTATTTCATAAAAGTTCTCCAAGTAATTTCAATATGCAGCGGGGTTTGCAAACGACCAGGCTAAATTGCAGTTGGGCAATATTGGTCTTCCTGATAGTTCAGGAAGCTTCCACTTTACTAATCACTCACTACTGTAGCAGGCACACGGTGGGTGCCCAGCATTCTTTTCTGCATCATTTCATCTAATTTTCATAACTACCTCTGAGGTAGGTGTTGGTTCTAAGTAACTTACCCAGTTACTGCCCCATGTCGGAGCCCAGGAAAATACCCACCACACAGCGCTGCTTCTCTCCTGTAGTTTGTTCCCGACACGGACCTGTCGGGAACACCAGTGTCTCCGCAGTTAGAAATAAACGTTACCTGAAAGACATATGGCGGCCACCAAGGGGCAAAAGGGGCCTGGCTGGGCTGACCCGGCGACTCAAGATCTCTTATTCCCCAGTCCAAAAAACCCCGGCCCCCAAAACTTGAACCATCTTTGGCCAATTTCAGGGCTAGAATAACCATTAAATACACGGCGAGGAAAGCCAGTCCGGGTTATTTCCCCCAAATCCCTAGCTGACGTTTAGAGGTTCAGTCATCACTGGAGATGGGGAAAAGCCTTTTGGAGCCTTCTCTATCAGCCCACCCGGCTCAAAGAGCTGGAAGCAAAAGCCCGGGCTGCCCATTCACTTCCCCAGGGTCTTGGGCTGGAGCTCTGGTCCCTGCGGCAAACCGCCGGAGACAGGGCGCGTTTCCCGAGGCGCTCACCCTGCTCCCAAGGGAGGATGAGTGCAGGCGGGGCCGAACGCACCATCAGCTCAGCAGATCCCCGGCAGGCCGGCGAGCCCAGTCCGGTGTCGCCCCCTGAAGCAAGGGCTCACTGTAGTTTTCCGGGGAGAGGGGCTGGCCGGTCCCGGGCACGGGTCCCCGTTTATCCGAATGTATGGAGGCGGGCATCGCAGCTCAGGCTGGCACCACCGGCTGCCCGCGCTCCTTTACGCGCAGCGCGGCGCACCCGGGAGTTCCCGAAGGGGAGGGCCCGGCTCAGCCCGCGCACGGAGCCCGGAGCCCGGTTGCCATGTCAACCCCACGCGCCCGGCGGAGCCTGGCGGTGCGCGCGGGACTCCGCCACTGCCGGAAGTGACGATTTCACCTGCGAGAGGGGCGGGGTGAGGCTGCGGTGCAGAGGTGCGGCAGCTGGCAGCCAGTCGGGAGCGCGCCGGGCGCCGGGAGACTCGGACTCCGGGCGAGAGCCCCCCACCTGCAGTCGCCGCCCACCGCCGGGCCGCCACCATGGCGCTTCTGCTGCGCTTGCTGCTCCTGTGCGGAGCCGCCGGTGAGTGGAGGCGATGCGGTCCCTAGTGTCCCCACTGCCCGGCCACCCCCGGGGCGCTGGCTGCCTGCAGCTAGCCGGGAACAATGCGGCGTGGGGGAGGGGGCGGGCGCGATTTGGGGTCGCTGCGGCAGTGGTGGCCGGGCGGACGGATTTGCAGGGGTGATTTTGCTCGGCTGGGTGCGAGAGCCGAGTAGGTGGAGGCGCTCGGAAGGTGGAGGGAGCCGTGCAGGGCGTGCGGTGTCTCGGGTGGGGAACGCCGGCAGAGCGGGGGGCTGAGCCCCGGGATAAGGGGCGCAGTGGAGGGGCTCCCGGGGTGCGGGTGGGTGGGTGGGCGCGGCGTGCTGGGTTTGCGCCTGCGGCTGGTCCTGCTCCATTCTTCGCCGCCAGTTCGGGCTTTGCTTTATTTGCTCTTGCCCTGCCCCTGTTAGCCGCCGAGTCGAGTCTGTCCAGGGTTACCCGATTTCAGAAGCCTTGAGCGGCGAGTTTTCAGGTGTCGAGCAGTGCAAGCGGGGAGACTGAATTACAAACGCCATGATTAAATGCACACTAAGCCCGAGATCGTCCAAGCTACCTCTAGGAAAGAGGCGCTGTGTGAACGGTACCTGAAGGTTCTCGGTCTGGTCGGAGAGGCGAGCCTCTAACTAGGCGGTAACTCAGAGAAGTAGACGCTGGGCAATCAAAAGCAGGTTCCTGCAAAACTGCGGTATTGATTTGCGCAGTCCCGGTGCAAAGTGCAAGGGGGAACTCGGTAACCTCGATGAGGTCATTCATTTTGGAGATAAGACGGGATGACTAGTATAGGGTAATTTCTAAAGGAAGAGCCAAGTAGTACGTTTTTCAGCCGTGCCTTTATCAGGAGCGAAAAGGAGGCATTTAAAAAAAATCTGTGGAACATTAGGAAACATAATCATTTTGTATTTTAAAAAATCTGATCCATTTCCTTGTCAGTTTTTTAAGCAACTGATGTTGTCAAAATAAACATTTGTCTCATTTTATAACCAAATGATCCATTTAAAAAAAAATCCGTAAATGGGACCCTAGGAGGCACACTGTAGCCTCTGGAAGGATAATTTTTTTTCTTTTAAGTGCTCTAAAGCAGGGCCAGGCGGCCCTTTCTGTGGGGGATGGCCCTCTACTTCCTGTTGAAATGGTAATGTCATTGTTGGGTGCCACAGCTGTGAGCCTCACTCTTGGGACCCACAGTCGATTACCAAGTCTAATCATCAGTCTGCGTCTACAGCACCACCCTCACCTTTTTGATACACGTCATGTAGACTTGGCTGAAATTTCCAAATCAGTCTTCTGGAGAAGATGAAGAAGGGTCAGCAACCAGTTTACATGGTACATTCCCATTTCTGTTTTGTCAAGGACTAAACCGAAGTTCGCACGGAGAACACGAGTTCGTGTCCTCTGTGGAAAGAAGTGTTTCAGGCTGCATCTAAACTGCAGAAGTGGAAGAACATAAGCCACGAAGAGGAATTTTTTTTTAGGAATATGGGGATAATGGTCTGTTTTTTTTTCTGGATGCCTCGCTTTGGCAGGCACAGTCTCAACCAAGAGTATCTTGATACTTACCGAGTTATGCTGCTCATAATGTGTACAGCAGGGTGCAGAGAACATCTCATTACAGGTCTATTGTCTTTAGCTGAACAAGACGACTATTTTTAATTTTCCAGCTTAGTAGACGACTCAAAACCTATGTGACTGACGTATGGTTTTGACTATTTTTTCCTGCCACTCCTTGCCCCTTTAGAAATCTATTGCTGTGAACTCAAGTGGAGTGGTGGCATGACCCTACAATTGGCAAAACAAGGTGGGGGCTTACACAGTTTAAAAGTCGCAGTGCTATCAGTGGTAGAGCTTCCTCTAGAGCTGCCTCTATATGGGCTGTAAAGAGTTTTTGGTATACTGTTGTTGCTGGTAGAACCCCTTTTGATGCATTTTAATTGCCAACCTAGTAGCAAGTCATACTACAGTGGCAGTAATGGTAGTGGCAGCAGTAGTAGAGCATCAGCAATGGTAGTAAAAATAAAGCCTTGACCGAGCAGTTATTAAATACCAGGCATTGTTCTAGGGGGTTTTACATATACTCAATCTACCTAGCAACCCTAGAGGGCATGTATTATGATGATCCCTGTTGTACAAGAAGGGAAACTGAGGCACAGGGTGGTTCTATAACTTGCCAAGATCACACATGTCCTCCTTAATCCTTGTTCTCATAACTATGCTCGTCTGCCCCTAAAGCAGCTATTGTCTTTACTCTTTGATTACCTCTAACTCACATCCTAAGTTTCTGTTACTGGTTATGAGTCATTTATTGGCTTGGCTGTGTGCCACGTACAAAAGTTTTTATTATTAGCTTTTAAATCCTTTATCTTTGTTGAAACCACGAGGATCCAGGGCTTAGACTGGTGTTGTAGACTACTGTGGCTCATGTACTGGCGGCAGTGGCAGCAGCTGGGATCTTGTTAAAGTTTGGGGTGTTGCTATTTTTTCACACTGTCCACATGAGTGGAACTAAAAATGTACTGGCCACTTGTTAAGCCATTTGATGGCAGCTGGGCCTCTGCCTTCTCCGTGTGCCTCAGTCGTGTTATGTGTCAAGAATGAGGGTCCTGCTTTCTCAGACTTGTTGAGGACCAAAGTGAGATGTTTATCTTTCTGCTTTCGCGGAGTCTTTTCATTTGAGTATGTATATTGAAGATTATTAGATGTGGACTTTATCCTTCCATATACCTCTCTCTTAATATTCACATTCCTGCCATTATACCAACCACCAGAGCAAAAGTTGCCTCTCCTCCAAGGCGAGCCACCCTCTATTGGCTCCTTAACCTACCTGTTGTGGGGTTTCCATCAATTACTCCGTCTATCTCATTGCACTAGGTCAGAGGGCAGGGGTCTGGCCTGTGTTGTTTATTGTTATAGTCCCAGTCAGTGTTAGCTTGTAGTGTGTGGCGATGGCTAAGTGTTCAGCAAATGTTGCTGACTGAAAGTTTTCAGCCACTTTGCCACTAGGCCCATGTGTGTGATGTACCTCTTGTCAGTTCCGTTGCTCTCTCGGTCCTCGTAGGGATCATTTCACTAGACTTGCCTCATCCAGTTGGTAGTCTGAAGATGTTAAGCACCTGCTTTATCTCCAGCCTCATTGCTCTGTTCCACACCCTCCCCACCTCTGCTTCGGTTGCCACAGGTAATGATAACATGTCCCAGATCCATCTGTGTTTTTTTTGGAGCTCCTTGGCACCTGTTGTGGTCCTTTCCCACCCTGTTAGCCTGTTACACAACCTTCTACATTAGGACCCTTCAGTGTCGGCCTTCCCCATGATATGGCTTACAGTCCTCTTCTCAGTCTCTGTCTTAAAGCTGGGTGAGCTTACCTGTCCATTATTCTACCCTCCAAATCGTTGCTAGTGACTTAAAAAGATTGCAGCTCAGCCCATCTTTCCTTTGACTCATGGACCTTTATTTCTAACTGCTTAACACTCACCTTCTAGCTGAGTGAGCCTGAGTACCCCTCAGGCTCATCAGTTAATTAATATATTAAATGATCCAACCCTTCACATATTTATGGCCTCCTATTTACTGTGCTTGCGCTCGGGGCTCTTACATTAGTATAGGACTGCTAGGTGCAGGTTTGATTGGACATTCCCAGCAGAAGATGCAGCTCTTGAAAGTCACAGAGACCTGAACGGGTGTGATGTGCCTTGGGAGTGGAGAAATTCAGTGCATACAAGTAGAAAGCATCTAGCCAGCACTTCTCAAACATTTGATGTGAACTGTGTCATTCCTAAAAGAAAATGTGGGGTGGGGCATGAGATTTGACATTTTTTAACAAGTTCCTTATATATCACTGCTGAGCACACTTTGGGTGGGCAGAGATCCAGAGGCTGTTTCGAGAGCTTATAAGGGGAGGAGAAATGGTAAACATCTGTCAAGTTCAAGTGCCTCTCCCACCTCCCCCGCAGTGGCACCAAGAAGTGAGGTTACACCCTGATACCATTGTCTTGAATGATGCAAAACTCCAGAGCAGTTCTGGAGGCAGACAGAGCTGATGGATCTAATGCACGTCTCCATCTGGGACGACCTGGACATGGACAGTTTCTGTTGAAACACAGCAGCGTGGTGTTGGGCTTCCTCTTTGATCTGGAAAGTTGTTCTGAGGGAGATGCAGTAGAACCTGATAGCTGACTGGTTGAAGGAGTGGCAAGAAAAACTTGGAGAAAAGCCGTAGGATTTTTGGCTTGAGTGAATGGTGATGTCACTAACCTGCAGGGGATAAAGCAAAGAGGAACAAGTTTTAGAGAGGTGACAATGAGCTTAAGTTTAAGCAGGTTCTATTTGAGGTGCCTGAGGGGAATGAAAGCGGAAATATCCGGTAAAGGAGATTTAAACAAAGGACCTCATCCAGGAGAAAGGCCAGGATCTGTGATAGAGAATTGAGAGCCACTGGTGATAGGTAGGTAGCATCTGTGTAAGGTTGACCAGGACAGGCCAGAAGGACTGGAAGAGAAGAGGAAATGTGATGCTGGGGAACAGCCACCTCTAGCAAGTGCACAGAAGGTGAACGACGGGAGAACTGGAGGGTGAGGGGATCTCAGACAGCCGACTCGGAAGTGAGGCCAGTGGGTCTTCCCGTTAGGAGATTGTTGAGAAAAACAGGACATTCATTACTTCCAAGGGGGGACAGTTTGGGTGGCAGTGAGAGTGAAGCTGGGTTGTAATAGATTGAGGAGGGGGCATCGGGTAAGTGGAGAGTGAGAAATGCACTGTATGTGCACTTGCACTTGTCTTGACAATGATGCTTTGCACATATGGCCATAACTCCAGGGGACAGAAGCAGACCCGGGGGAGAATGTAGAAGCCAGCAGGTAGGGACTCATTTAACTTCCAGCCACCCAGGCCTAGAACCTTGCCCTCATTTCCCTCCATGCGCCCAGTTTCCTCCTTTTACCCAAATGTTGGTGTTTCTCACTTTATGATTTCAGCTGCCACTTGAGTCC